CCTTTGCTATTGTACTAAGATAAGGTTTCTGTATCATTTCATATGAAATGCCTATATAAAACTTATGGCAAACCAATGCATAGAAAACCTTCTTTTTTCATATCTCACCCAAGAATATATTTTATTCAAATAAAACAATCCAAGAGGCTTTCACACGGCAGCCCTTAGTAAAAAGGCACAGGAAAGATGCATTTTTGAATATAGGGATGAATTATTTCCCACTGCCCATTCTCATTTGAAAGTGATGGAATTTCATACTAGACTGCTAAAAAAGCACTAGACCGATAGTAATAACAAATTATTGAGTTATGCCAGATAGCTTTGAAAGGAGAATGAACATTTTTATTCTCACAAGGTCACTTATAGTAAAAAGCACTGTGGTTTTTTGCTTTTCCATTGTAATCCAAGACACTTCTTCACTGTAGCCTAAGCCTTAAATGGAAGTGACACTGAACTATTTTTTTTTTAAAGTGATATTTTGGATAGATTCAAGCAGATGACAAGACTGACATTTTCTATTGCCTTAATGCAAACATCATGGTCCACATACAAATGCCTGTCCTTCATTAGCTAAAAATCAAGTTAAATTTGAGAGTATTTATTTCAGTTTCATGTTGCTGTACTAATCTGTTGGTTCTGGAATTTGGAACATTTAACTCTGCAAACAGTTTGTGTAGCTACTAGCTACAACCCAGCCATGTATTTGCTTATGATACTCAGAAAATCCTATGGCTTAGTACACAGCTATAGGATACCACAGAATCAAACATGTGCTTTAGCTATGACATGGGACATCTCCAAGAGCAAAGATAGTGCCAGTGTTCCTTCAGGAAGCTTTCTCATCCCTCATTAGAATGCAATTGTCGCTATCCTATGGTTCCATGGCCTTAATTTTTTTTTTCTTTTTGAAAAAGAATATAAAAACATAAATAAGCTCTTATCACTACTATTTTCCAGAAATCTACTGGCTTTTCCCAGAGAACTGCTCTCGCCATTTCTTGTGTAATCTTTCAGAAGTATTTTATATATATAAAAGTTAATCTGTACATAAATCTCATAATACCTTGTGCTTCTATTGTGATACTATTTGCATTATATCTTGTAGTAGAATGGTATACATGCCCATTGTCCCTATATGATGTGAAAATGTTATTTTTCAACTAGGTATTACCAAAATGAGTTTAAACAATAGATAGCTTTCAAAAGAAAAAAAAGTTTGTTGAATTGAACTGAGTCAGCATGAAGCAATCTTTAGCATTTACTGGATTAGAGTGAGTTGCAACTATATTTTTGGATATAGTTATTCTATGTAAAATGGGACCAGTTTTTTCCCTAGAGTAATAAATATTTTTCTCTCTGTTAGGTTACTGCTCCTTGAAGTAGGTTTGATTACTTGATCTAATATAGCAATATGAAAAAGGAATAAAATTCTTTATTCTGGGCATTCATGCTAGATTCCTTAATATGCTAAGTTATCTAAATCAGCTTCTACACCTCTAAGAGGCATATGCTAATGTTAACTCAAGAAACAGTAAGTATATTGAGAAAATTTTTGTGGTGATTTTGACATCTTACATTTATAGAAATGATTTTTTTAGTTCCCTTTTATTCAAATTTTACCATATAAGATAATAAAACCAAAGGTGAACAAATTATTTTAAAAATCACGTATATAAAGTATCAATCAAATGAGTAAGATTAATTGGCTAATCAAATCTTCCTATATTTTTCGATTTCATTGTGTAACATTTTTATCTTCTTGTTACCGATGACACAATGAATAGTCTAAAGGCTTCCAAAAGTCTATTCTTAACCCGGGACATTAGAAATTCATGGGTAGTTTTTCTGCATTGGGTGAAACCAGAGGTTGTACTTAGGGAGAATCAGATTAAGGTGTTACACAGGGACAGTGTGGGTTGATGTTGAGAAGGATTCCAGAATGCCAACTTGCTATAGCCATGCAGATGCCATCAGTTACATTTCTTATTTCTGACTTAGCATTCACAATACTAGGTTAAATAGTCCATAAAGATGAATAAGACATGGAAGCTGCCTTCATTGAGTTAGTTAATAATCCATCAGGGAAATAAATATGAGTGTCAATAGCAGCATGATGAAAAGCCTCAAATGTATCATGGAAACATCAAATATAGTGTAACGATAGCATCAATATTTATACTGATGATTACATTATAACATACAGTGTTCCTTTACAGTGTTCCTTTAATCCTTACCAAGTCTTATGAATAGGTATTATTACTATTATCTCTATTTCACAGGGAGGAAGATAAATGACTTGCCACGACTGATAAATGACAGAATCTGGATGCATATCTAGGCAGGCTGGTTCTGGAGTCTGCAGTCTTAACCACTGCTTATACTGTTTCTCTAATGACTTTTTGTGTAACTGACTGTGCCTGGTATGATGTGTTGGTGTTCTTTAAATGAGAGCTGCATGAAAATAAACTGAGAAAGAAAGAAGGAAAGAAGGAAAGAAGGAAAGAAGGAAAGAAGGAAAGAAGGAAAGAAGGAAAGAAGAGAGACAGACAGAAAGAGAGAGAGAGAGAGAGAGAGAGAGAGAGAGAGAGAGAGAGAGAGAGAGAAAGAAAGAAAGAAAGAAAAAAAGAAAGAAAGAAAGGAAGAAAGGAAGGAAGGAAGGAAGGAAGGAAGGAAGGAAGGAAGGAAGAAAAAAAGGAAGAGAGAAGGAGGGAGGGAGGGAAGGAGGGAGGATGTAGGGAGAGAGGAAAAAAAGAGAAAGGAAAGCAGGGAGGGAAGCAAGGAGGGATGATGGGAAGAGTGGAGAGAAGGAGGTGAGGAGGGAGAGACAGAGAGACAGAACAAGAGAGAAATATCACCATGCCTGGTCTACGGCCATGCTACCCTGAACAATCCCAATCCCATCTGATCTCGGAAGCTAAGCAGGGTCGGGCATGGTTAGTACTTGGATGGAAGACCAGCTAAGACCAGGGGCTGGCTGTAGGCGTAAAAAATAAATAAAATAAGGAATTGTAAGATGACAAGATCCTTGTAATCTGTGAGGTCAACCAAGGGTTGCCTTACCTAAAAAAAAAAAAAAAAATCACCATGCCTGAACTCCAGGCAGAAAGAATGCCATGAGCAACAAGAGACAGAGGTATAAAGCAGCGTGAAATATTCTGAGAATCACAGAGGTCCCCTTCAGTTGCAGGAACTGAATTATGTAATTCTGTTTTTGGGCCATTCTTGGAATTTGAGATTTGTTCTGTAGTTAGTAAAGTCCACTGAATATTTAAACCAGGCAGGTAGATAAATCCTGTGATTACATTTTGCTTGAAAAAAAAATTCAAAAACCAATGTGAAAATGGTTTGGAGGAGTGTTATTTTAGAGGCAGGTAAAACTTGGTACAGGTAGGGAATAATGAATGAATGAATTCAAAAAGTGGCAGAGAGAAAGGCTGAGTAAAACATATAGTTCAAATGTATATTGAATAAGTCTTATTGACCAATTTGATCATGAAGAATGTTGGAGAAGAGAAGGCTCACAGAAGTGTAGTTTCAAGTCTAAATGGTTTTAGAGTGAATTTAGAAAAAAAAAAGAAACATATTTTGATATTTGTTTTTCATTTGCACTAGTTTGGTTTGTATTATGAAGAGTTAGTAAGGATAATGACATATTTGGGACATACAAAGATATCCAGTACCTACTAAGCAGTTAGAAACACAGGTTATAATGTTCTGCATCTCTACTTATGAACTTGAGGGACAGTCTTCAGTTCCTAAGAGGAGTGGAGGAGATCAACCAGAGAGAAGACAGTGAAAAAAAGACCAAGCTTTGAGAAAGATTAGCAAAGTGTACAGAAGAGGTGGAATAATAAGAATTCGAATGCTTAGTAAGAGTTAGGAGCAAAGAAGATCAGCAAAAAATGGAGTTATGGGATTGAAGAGAAAAAATTTTCAAGAATGTGCAAATGTTAAAAGAAAAAAAGTTAAATGAGGCAAGATTTCAATTAGAATAAAGGCTAAAAAAGTTATAGTTACAGGTGGCCAATTTGAAGATCATTGGGGACATAAGCAAGGAAAATTCCAGTAACATTTGAGACCAAAACTCATGCTTTAAATAGGATAAATTCAAGATAATGTGGGAGGACAGCACGTATAGGAGACCGAAGCTGTTTACCTGCAAAGAGAAAGCCAAAAGTGTGGTCACTAGAAGCGATCTCATTAGCAGGGAAAGACTCCTTTCCTCCTATCCTGCATGTAAGTAGGAGGGTCTTGAACAGATTCACAGGCTAAAAGGAATATTCAAAGTTCCTTTCAGACACAGGAAGATATTGAAGAGAGGGACTGATTGATGGAGTAAAGTTCTGTATCAGATAAGAGTAGATAAAAGAAAGAAAATTGGTATCCTTAACATCTTGTTTCCTAAGGGAAATGTTGTAAATATCCAAGTGGGTAGCGGACGAAGGTGAACCTTTTTTCCAACTGTTGACATAGTTTAAAGAATACAATATTACACTGTTAATATAAGACATGGATAAGAACGTGTCACATAGTGGGTGACTGCAGGTGAACAGATGTATCACAGTCAACATCAATATGGTATAGAGGTGGCAACCTGAGATGTGGAGACCTGCAGGAGAAGGAAGACATGTCACTGCATCCCAGGCAGTCCTCACTGCCTCAGACATGGTACCCCGCCAAAGTTCACTTTTGACTACTTGATTGGGAGCTGAAACTCCAGTTTTTTCTCTTTATTTTTTTATTAAACTAGATTATTTCCAGAAAGAATATGCACTCTTAATGTCACAGAGGCCTTGTGAGGATGGGTGACATGGGAGAGACTATGAAGTCAGAGTCACTTATGAGAAGAAAAACAAAAGAATAATGGTGAGAAATGTTTGCTTTAAAGTTTTTGCTAAAAAATTTAAAACAAAAGACAGATTTGAACATTCTCTTTGGTACTGATTTCAGAGGTCAAAGGTATCTTAGCAATTAAAATAGAGAAAATGTGGTAGACTTACCCATTCTGTATGGCAGCTGTGGGGTCATAGGTCAGAGCCATGCCAGCCTGTATATAAGAAGGAGAGGAGAAAACAGATCTTAACATTTATATTGTGGTTCCTAAAACATTCAGTTCACACAAGGATGCTTATTTTTACTCTCCATGATTTAAGTTTATTTTCTCCTATATATTTCTCTACCCTTACTGCCAAGACTAGCATTTTCACTACCCACACACCAGGATCCACCAGTGAGTTAGGGAGTTTATATTATATATCTAGAAAAACCAAGGAACAATGCAGCTTGGAAGATTTCCATTCCTCCTTCATAAACCATCTGCCGTCTAATCTGGTATCCTTATAATTTCTCACTATTGTCAAGTCTCACTATTGTACATCTCATGGCATAAAAAAAAAGGTAAGAATGAATCTTAAAGTAAGGATAAAATAAAAACGACTTAAAATGCATTCAACCTTTCAGAAGAAAATGTTAAGAAATATTTATTTTAAAATATTTTGTATGCCTCAGGGGTATGTAGGTAGAGTCACAGAGTGCTTGTTCAATGTATTGCTAGTATCTGTCTTATTAAGAGTTATCCAAAGGGAAGGTCATTTACACAGGATGGACATTCTAGGCTGTGTGGCTAATAAGAAGTGGTTTTATTCAGTTTTTAAGAATAAAGACAACTCTGAAAAACTATACTTCTTTAACTGGCAGTAGTTTGAGAAAAGCATATAAACTTCACAATTGCTGATTTCCAGTCTATCACCTCCCTTCATACACATCATCACATTTCATCCTCACAACAGCCTTGTGAAGCAGGCAGGGGAAATCGTTTCTCTGTTTTATAGATGAAGACACTGAAGCTTGGGGGAGGTCAAGTGACTTGCTCAAGGTCACACATTTGGAGGCAGAACCAGATTACAAACCAAGTCTTCAGATGTAGGCTCCCTTCCACAGCTCTGCTGTAACACTGACTTGGGAACTGAATGAGATCTGAGGATCATCACTATGTCGTGGAACTTCCTCTGTGGTTGTATGGACAGACTACCCTTTACTTTTCAGGACTGTCAACCTGGTTATCACTCGTGAGCAGAAAGAGAATGCAGAGTGAAATTTAAAACTGACTAGGTTATCTTTAGGATGGATTTTTTTTTTTTTTCTGTTTTGAAATTTAAAAATGAATTAGACTGATGTCAATTTTCTGGCTTTGTAGTGCAGTATAATTATGTAAGATGTAACCATGGGGAGAAATGGGATGTGGGGTATACAAGGCCTCCCTTTTCATTTCTTTTGTAATTGTCTGTGAATCTATAAGTATTTCAAAATTAAAAGTAAGATAAAAAAGGGAACTAGCTTTGAAGACTTGTGTAGAGGGTAAGAAAAACCATTAAAACTTAAGGAAAAAAAAAAAAAAAGGAAAAAGAGCTTTTGTGTTAGAGTTTTTTCCAATGTGGTTGAAGGTGTTTTTCCTGTTAGGCTTTTTGAATTCCTAGATTTAATACATAAAAATTCTCAAGTTTCCTAGTATAGAGCCTGAAATCCAGTATGGCCTGCTATATTAAAGCTTAGATTACGTAAATTATTTTCCTTACATCAGAATTTTTAAATTATTATTATGATTGGTATGAGGAACAAAAGTGAAGAGCCAAATACGAATGAGATTAGCACACAGGGAGCACACGTAAATTGAAACAGAGTTTGCAAACAAAGTTGAGTGACTGCCAGAAGTTAATAGAAGTGTACTGAGAACACGTTTAATAATAACTGTATTTTACTCAGCTTAAGAAATATACAACTAATAATATATTATCAGTTGATAATATGACAAGCTGGGGGACTGGGGAATGAGATAAGAAAAAAAGAGCAGAAATTAGGGACGATTATTAGTTTTTGGGGAGAGGCAAAGGTAGCAAGCAGTGCAAAACACATAGAGACCCAAAGTCTAAATTCTTGCCATGTAACTGGTGGGAAGATGGCCCCAGCCTGAGCAATTCCCAGAATGGAGGCATCCAGGGTGAGCTGAAACTCCATGGTCCTGGGTGCTGGAGTGGACAGTTGTAAAAGCAGTCCATTTGGGATGACTTTTCCCTCTTAGAAACACTAACCCTCTCTCCCCTAACTTATCCAAGATGCCACACCAGGGCAGAATGACAAAAACAGGCTTTATACTCAATAGAGATAGTCAGTTCATGAGAGATTTAGGATGGTAATCATATCTTTAGCCTTCTAACCACCCTGAATTGTTAAAATCCTGGGTGACTTATATGAAACCTTTCCTAGCTAACCTCACATTTATTTCTTTTTCTTATTTACTTATTTCCCAATAGTGCTCAATGACCATTGCTATAAATTTTCTTGAACATATTTATTTGCTGTAGCCACTTTTTATTTTTATTTTTTTTCTTTCAAATTCTACTCGAATTCCTCATGGATTATAGTTCACCAATCAGTTCTAGCTAGGAATAATACAGTCATTACCAATCATCTCTGTCTCTCTATTGAATACATATTTGAAAATCAGAAAGCCTGTCGGCCTTTTCCTCCATCTTAAAGCTCCATCCATCTTTCAGAAGATGGAAAAGAACTGAAAAGTGGCAATATGGTTTAGTGGAAAGAATATATGTTTTAGACCTGGGTTCAAGTCTTAATTCTGTTACTTTCTATCAGCGTGGCCTTAGGCAAATTATTTAACCTATTTGAGCCTCAGATTTCTCAACTCTTAAGTGGTATAGTAATACCTACCTCATTGTATTGTTGTGAAATTTAAATGAGATTACGTTTGTAAAACTCCCAGCACAGTGCCTGGAGACAAGACACATACATAAATATTATAATACAAAGCAAAATGTGGTAAGCGCCATATGAGCAGTATGGATGAGGTGTAGAGGAGAGAGGCTGGAGGTGATTAGGGAAGGCACCTGGAGGAGGTATGAACAGCATGGAAGATGGTGTGTAAATAACAAGGGTGAGGCAGGTGATCCATCTACAGTAGACCATTGGAGGGAAACAGTGGGAAATAAGACTCCAAGAGAAAGGAGGGATCATCTCGATTGCCTGGCTCCTCTTGGGAAGCCACTAAACATTTTTTGAGGAGAAAAATTATACAATCAAAGAGGGATTGGGCAAGAAGAAATAGTATGAAGCCTCTGGGAAACAAGGAGTAAATCCAGAGCAATGAGCAACTGGAGTAGGCACTTGGGGACAAGGGGGTAGAGAGAATCTAAGGTGAGATTGTCATTACAATAGGGTAGGGAATGAACACAAGTTTCACCTACTTCATGATTTTGCCTAGGGACAGTCCTGCCTCTGAGTACCTTTGGCAAGAGGAGACAAGAGATAGTGTCAAGTCATATGCATTTGGAACATTGTGGGTAACAAAACAAGGCATGGATTCAACAGAAGGTTTTTTGAACTTCACCTGTTGGCTCAATATCATAACACAATAACTAACACTTGACTGCACCTGATATTCATTTCATGCATAACAGATTGTTGTGTTATAATTCTAGTATGGTCTTAATGCAGATTTTTCATTCAATTCCTTTTTGTTTCTTTCCACAAAGGTAAAAAAGAAAATCAAATTTGCTGCTCTTTCTAGCTACCTTTATGCTAAGCTAGAATCACGAAATCATCATTATGTAAGTACCAAATTTTATGGCATGTTTACAAACTTCAGAGTCACACAGAAAGTAAAATAACTCGGAACAAAATGAAAATATCACACCACATATGCAAAGATGTGTTGTTTAATCCTGTCATTCTTTCAAAAAGGGCTTATTAGATTCACAAATATCTTCCATTTTTTGAGTTCACATTATTTGTGTGCTGGAGGCATTTATAATTTATTTAAAACAAAAAGGGCCATTTTTGTCATTTTCCAGCTACAGCTGAATTTTGGGTTGGTATTTCAGCCATAATAAAATATTTCTGGTCCTTCCGGACAGAGTATAGACCATAAGAGCTAAATATTTTAGCAGTAAACTTCATACAGATAGATATACATTGAAATTCTTGGCAAATTGAAACATTGATGTTTTAGCCTAACATTTTTCCTTTTTCCAAATTCTGCCCTGACACATGAATCATCATAATTGGATGAGTTACAAATGAGCAATCATAAGGATTTCCAATTTTCTACAATTAGCTTAAAGCAACACTTTAGTAAATATGTAGTAAATACTGTATATTTTAGTAAATATTGTGTACTGAATTTGCATGAGATGAGTTCAGGAAATCAAAGAAGAAAAGGATAATATAGTTTTCTTGATATCTTTGCAACAAATTATAAAAATCTTTACAATTGTAAGTTGGTTATGGTAAATCAATAAATAAAATAAGACTTAAAAATGATGTATATAAAAGGGGCTTGAAAATTATAATGTGTTATATATGTTTAGGTACTGCTATTGTAGTGAAACCTTACTTAACACTGTTTATATTTATTTATTAGTATTTTTTTTTTTAGAAAATATGTCCTTTAGCGAAGAAATCATGATACAATATTGTGTATACAAAACTCAACAAATAAAATTTAAAAAAAATTAAATCTCTGATTAGAAATAAAACAAAAAATTAATTTCAACAATGTTAAGCACCAAAATGTTGGGGCATGTAACTATAGATGACATTTTTTACTTTCATATTTTTTGACTCTTCTAAATTGTGTATAATGAGGATTACTTCTATAATGAGGAAAAAATTTTATTTAAAAAAGCATGGTATATATTTTATGACTTGTTTAAAATTTTAAATTCAGGAGGAAGAAAACAAGGCATATTATTTGTAAAAGTCGTATAGACCAGAGGCCTAATTTAGAAGAATTTTTGGAAATGCCAGGAGGCATTTAGCTTTGCTGGGTCAATGGAATACAGAAGAGCTGGGGTGGGATGAGGTTTGCTGCCAGAAGGATCAAGGTAAGAATAGGTAGGAGGTCAAGAATAAAGACTCAAACTTTAGGGTTAATAGTACACTGTTTATAGTTGTGGAAGCTAATAAGAAGTCATAAATCCACGTGATCATACTGGCTGAGGGTTTTATATGCTCTCTGGACTATGTGCAGCAAGTCCTTCTCTGGAACAGATGAGGGATAAATGAGACAGTAGACAAAGAAATTGCCAAAGTCTACAAAAGGGAGACTATATGACATGGTCCTGAGATAAGATAGAAACATTCTAAGTAACTGTCTTATAAAAGATGCTCACCAACCTGTGAAATGGTTCACACTGCACTTCCTAACTTTTCAAAATTTCTAAATTCAAGGAATACTTTTTTTCCAAATTATATTTGATTAAATTGCATCATTTGAGCAGTGATTATTTTCTTCTTTCAAAACTCATTCCCTTTGGCTTTCTTCTGCCCTCTCAAGAACAATTTCTGCTTTGATGTCACTTGTTCCATCTTCCTTTGAGATGTCAGCACTTAGGGCCAGGGTTTGCCCTTCTCGTCTCTCCTTCGGTACAATAATGATATTCACTTTCTGATCCCAACTATTATTTATGTCACGGTAATTCCTGAATCTTGGTCTCAAAGTCAAGTATCTATTCTGAATTCCAGACATTTATTGCCAAGTTGGATTAGTAATTTCAATATATGATCAGAGTTTTATTCAAGTTATCATTTTTTTTTTGTTAGGATGTTTATTAATATCTTTTAGTAATGATATTTTCTCCAGCCTTTGCTTGCAACATCCTTCCAATCCATCAGTCAACCATTGTGCTGTGAGGATTCCTCTTACAAATGAGCAAATCTGACCACATCATGGTGCTTTCTTTTAGGTGACTCACTAAAATAATACATGGCTCATGAGTCCTTCATGATCAAGACTCTGTGCACCTACTAACTTCCACAATCTTCCTATGCAACTCTAGACCCTGCCCTTCATGAAACTCAGACATATACTCATCCTGCCCTGGGCCTCTGGGCCTTTGTTGCTGCAATTTTTGGCTGGAAACTATGTATCACTGTCTATGGGAAAACTGAAATTCTAGTCTTTCAGCTTCAAACTAAACATCACAGCCTCTTAAAGCCATCTCTCTCTCCACATAGAAATAACCACTGCCTTTGTTCCCTCCCTGTGATTCAGGATGGAAGCCAATATGACTATGCTTTGTCATGTGTGTCTCAACTAGATTCTTGGTATGTCCATCTTGTTATCTCCTGTTCCTAGCCCAATGTTTGGAACATAATAGGGACTCAATATATATTTGTTAAATAAATGAATAAATGAATAATTGACTTAAAGACAATTTTGAATTTGGACTTCAGTTTAATTTGTATTTGAAAATGGAATTTAAGTGTTTTTAATTTTTACTTCTTAGTAAAAATAAAATGTTCTCTTAGAAGTTTCAGCTGAACTCAATTGAACTTCTAGAAAAAAATGTTTCAGCCTTTGATTGGTCAGTAGAGGGAAGCACGATGATTATTGGGATTGCTCAGAGAACTTTCTGATGCAGCGAGGAGGCCAGTGTTCCTGAGCCAGATCATGAGCAGGGGCCTAGGAGGAATTAGAGGCAGCTACAAAACATGGGGGCCCCTCTTCTCCAAGATATTAAGCCAGGGAGAGGAGAAGAAGGTTGTTAAAAGTCATCTTAACATCTTCGGGGGGTTGCCAAGCAAATGAGATGTAAGGGATTTATCACTTAAAAAATAACAAAAATAGGCAATGAGAAAATTTCACCTCTTTATGTCTGGGAAAAGAACATCAAGGGCAGTCATGCTGTTGTTTATACACTATGTCATCGTGGTATTTCTCCTTTTTGACTTTTACAAAACATTCTTGTCAGACAGAAAATTTCTCTTTTATACAGCAACAGAGAAAACTAAGATAGAAAGATACAGACAGAATTAAATCTGGAAGGCTGAGAAAGTCTATGGCTACATAGAAAAAAACTCCAAAAAGAAGCAGAAGACAAGGTATAATAACATTGTATGATGTAGCTGGCTAAGGTTCTCAAAGGCTTGAAAGAAAAAAAAGTTCTAATCTGAATTTGTTATTAAAATAAAAGTTAATCGAGTCTTGATCAATAATCAAAAAAGAAATGAGAACAGTACCGTATTTTATGTAGGTACTTTTGTTTTTATCTCAATCTAAATGGCTGAATCTCATAGATTCCAAGACATGACTTTTTTTTCCCCCAGATTTTAATATCTGTGAAACTGGAACTCACATGATAATTCATGGCATTCGATAGCTTGGGAAGTATCTCCACGTTTTTTAGTGGTATTGAAAATGACATTTCATCTTTAATTGATGGTGTCTTAGAATCCATGATGTGGTATATAGACTGTTAAACCCACCATAACATGGTAAGTAGGGTGAAAAATATAAAATGTTGATGTTGCTACCAGGACAAACCTGTGCATCTAGATAGTGTAAGCCCCAGGTATTTAGTGATCAATGGTCTTCTAGGACCCAGCTGCAGTTTGGTGTTACCTAGAAGTTGTAAGCAATGGCTTAAATATTGATGGGGATGATTCTGAGTCTTGCAGCAGGCTGGGACTGCCACAGCAAAGCCAGCAACTCCAGAATACTCTCAGTTGGTCGAGGCCCCATTTAGTTGCCTTGATCCATGGAGACTGGGTCAAGGGAACACAGGAGACATGGAGATCAATCATCAGCCTTTTCCTTTAATTGCTTGCTATCATATTCCCAGCCTTATGTCTTAAACTCCCAACCCTATTCCTGCTCTAAGAACTTAAGTACATTATTCCATCCTCTTCCTTGAGAATGGATACTAGGTAGAGGACTGGAGCTCACCATTAATTATATTATATCCAAAATTACATTATTACAGAAATTTACAAGATTTATTTTTTATCTTTAGTGATGATAGGTTAGTAAATATTGAACTCAGCTGCTTTAAAATAAGAACATTTGCGTAAGAAAGTTTTCATGCTGAATTACTGAGAATTCAAGTTTTTGTGCCAATGAGAAATTTCTTTTGAGATTAAAAGGGTCATTCACTTTGAACCTGCTCTCTAAATAGCAAGTAAGGCACATGAAATAAATTTTAAAAGAATGTATCTGGTAGACTGGCTGACAAATCCAACTTGTAACTACTAGCATTCACCATAACAGTCAACTGTTCTTTAAGATTACATTTGTAAAGACTCTCCTTCAGTTCAAGGTTTAAAAGACCATTTGCAGAACCTGGCAATGTTAACAGTTATGTCTTAATTTTTTTCCCCAAGGTCTTATTAAAAAAAAGAATTAGACAACTAATTGTCAAGCATTGATATACACAAAGAAAGTGGTAGTGAACTATATAGATGATGTTTCTACTTTCTTGGAATATGGTCAAAGATATCCTGATTC